TTTATTAATTAATTTTAATTTATTATTAAAATTAATAAATAAATATTAATTATTTTATCAGTTATTAATTAAAAGTTATGGTTATCAATTATTTTTATTAATTAAATTAAATAGAATTAGTATTTTTAAAAATATACTTTATAATTTTTAGTAAGCTTAACACTTTGGGCAGAGGCATTGACTTAGGGTTTTCTCTCGCCGTGGGCTTAGGGTTTTCTCTTTCTTGATGTGTGAGCACCTCGCTTAGGCGCATCTCCCTGTTTTGAAGGGTCTTCCTCCACCCTCTTCTCTCTGTCCTTATTCTATAATGGCCTCTACTACAATCCTTGCTTGGAACGGTCGAGGCTTGGGTGACTATCTGAGTGTAGCTAAATTGAAAAAACTAATAAAGAACCAAAGACTACATCTCATCTTCCTATCAAAAACCAAGAGATCTATGGCAGAGATGGAAAGAATTCGATTAGAGTTAAGGTTCTCATATTGCTTTCAGTTGATAGAATTGGACGCCATGGTGGGCTTGCTACGTTATGGAACAACGAGGTGCATATAACTCTTCTATCTTATTCCTAATCTCATATAGATATGGAAATCAAAGATATCACAGATTTGCAATGGCGTGTAACATGTTTCTATGGGCAGCCAAAGGTAGCTAGAAGACATGAATATTGGGCTCTATTGAAATCTTTGCGATTAGCCTCTTCTCTCCCATGGGTTTGTTTGGGAGATTTTAATGAAATAATGAGGCAATCAAAGAAAGAGGGGGGTACTCCCAGACCAGAAAGGCAGATGGAAGCTTTTTGAGATGCAATTGATTCCTGTGAATTGTGTTCGTTAGGGTTTAAAAGTCCTTGGCTCGCATTCATTAGCAAACAAGAAGGTGAAGTTTTACGTGAAAGACTCGATCATGTTCTCATGAACCGAGCATGGGAAGAGTTGTTCCCAAGTGCTGTCTCTAATCATCTTCCTACAAATCAATTATTAAGGAGGCTTGGAGTATTGAAGAAGGTGGCTTGGCTATGGATACTGCACTCAATAAGATTGATCATTGTGGTGTTCTTTTTCAGGAATGGAGTGACCATAAATTCGGGAACATTCCGGAATGAATAAAGAAGTTGCAAGATGAGTTGCAACACTTGCACAATGGAAGCTCTAGTGAATGCAACTCTGAGGCACTCGAAAAGGTTGAGACAAAACTCAAAGCTTTACAAAGGCAAGAAGAAGTTCTTTAGAAGCAAAGATCAAGGGTCCAATGGCTTAAAGAGGGGGATAAAAACACTTCCTTCTTCCATATGAGAGCGTCAAAAAGGAAGAGGAAAAATCTAATTTCAAAATTGAAAGATGACTTTAGGAAGGTTGTAAATGATCAAGCTGGAATTGAAAAGGTTGCACTCACCTATTTTCAAAATCTTTTTAACATCTGAAGCTAGAAGGGAGCCTTATCCTATTCTACAAAGAATAGGGAATTGAGTTTCACTAGCTAATGTGATGGCCATGGATAGCAAGTATACAGATGAGGAGGTTCTCTCAGCATAAAGACAAATTCACTCCTTTAAAGCACCAGGTCCTGTTGGGATGAATGCTGGTTTTTTCAAATTTTATTAGCCAATTATAGGAATAGATATTACCAAGGCAGTGCTGGATTTCCGAAATGGAGTCATGCCTAAAGGCCTGAACATGACTCACATTGTCCTCATTCCCAAGGGGAAAAACCCCTGTACAATGAAGGACTTTCATCCCATAAGTCTTTGTAATGTGCTTTACAAAATTATCACAAAGATACTAACTAATAGATTGAAGCCATTGTGATCGAGTATTATTTCAAAAAATCAGAGTGCTTTTGTGATGGGGAGGCTTATATATGATAATGTTATGGTGGCATTTGAGATGGTTCACCACTTTAAGAATAAAAGGCAAGCTAACAAGGGGGAAATGGCAATAAAGCTTGACCTTCTCAAGGCTTTTGATAGAGTTGAATGAAATTTTTTAGAGGGAGTTATGCAAGCTATTGGGCTACTCTACAACTGGGTGCAATGCATGATGACTTGCATCTGTTCCGTTGAATACTTAATTATGGTTAATGGTTCCCTCACCAAGAAGTTTACCCCATCAAGAGGGATTAGACAAGGAGATCCCTTATCCCCTTTTCTTTTTCTTTTCTGTGCAGACGGCCTTTTGGCTATGCTTTATAATTATCTACAAAGAGGGGCCTTAAAAGGTGCTGCAGTGTGTCATGGTGGACCAAGAATTTTCCATCTATTTTTTGCTGACGATAGCCTACTATTCGATGCGGCCTCTAGAGAAGCTCATCAGTTGGTAAACATTTTACAAGAATATGGGGAGGTTTCTAGACAACATATCAACTTAAACAAGTCTTCCATCTTCTTTAGTCACAACACTTCTAATGAGGTGAGGTCCAAAGTGATGGAGATATTAAGCATTAATCAGGTCTTTGTAGATGATAAATATCTGGGCATGCCACTTCTCATTGGGAGAAACAAGTCTATCTGCTTTAACTCCATCCGAGATCGTATTTGGTCTAAGATTAAGGATTGGAAAAATAAAATGTTGTCAAAAGGGGGCGAGGGAGTTTTGATTAAGACGGTCGTGCAAGCCATACCAAGTTATTGTATAGGATGCTACCATTTACCACATACTTTTCTACAATCCCTTAATAGTATAATTAGTAATTTTTGGTGGGGAGACAATTCTAATAAGTGGAAAATACATTGGCTGCAATGGGATCTGCTTTGCAAGCCAAAAAATTTAGGTGGATTGGGATTTTAGGACTTTCAAGCTTTTAACCCTGCTATGCTAGCAAAAGAAAGTTGGAGGCTTATGCAAGGTTCTAATAGTCTTTGCTATCAAGTTCTTAAGACCAAATATTTTAAAGATGGGGACTTATTAGGGGCTGAATTGGAGATAAACCAATCTATGGTTTAGAAAGGAGTTATGGATGGACTTGGAGTTTTAAAAGAGGGCTCATATTAGCGAATAGGGGAAGGAGAGAGCACCCGAATCTGGAGGGACTAGTGGGGACAAGACTCATGTGTGTTTATGCCACTTGATAGATCTCAAGAACTAGATTTGGATGCTTGAGTGAGTTCTTTGATCGACTTCCAATTTTGGCAATAAGATATGGTGAAACTATGCCAACTTTTTTTACCTGACAATGTTGAAAAAATAAAACAAATTCCACTCAGTAGTAGATGCACTAATGATCGTCTCATTTGGAAATGCATAGCTAATGGTAAGTTAACAGTTTAGTCTGCATATAGATTGGCTTGGAATACTATTTATGGTTTGGATTTTCAAGAATACAATGATTTGATGAAACCAGTTTGGCATTCTATCTAGTTTTTGGATATCCCTCCAAAAATAAAACATTTCCTTTGGCGATTTGTAAGGGAAATTCTACCCTCTAAATTGGCTTTGCTTAATCGTGGGGTAGAAATTAATAGAACTTGTAGCCTTTGTGAAGCGGAAGAAGAATCCTACCACCATCTTTTCTTTAGATGTAGGTGGAGTGAATTAGTTTGAAGTGGGTCATGTTCTTTCTTTAATCTTAGAAACATGAGTGAATCATATATTGATGGTTTTTTGAACTCCTTTTTAGCACTGAATAAGGATCACAAAGAATGAGTGGCAGTCACTTGGTGGGCTATAAGGAACAATCGAAATAATTGTTCTTTCAAACATTTGTGCACTCGACTATAGCACACTATTAAATGGATCTCAAATTATATTACAAAATTTTGAAGTTCTGGTGAGATTGATAATCAGATTAGGAATCTTGATAGAGCAATGCAGAAAACTAAGTGGCAACCACCTAGTAGAGATTTCATTAAAATTAACACCGATGCAGCAATTCCTCCAAGTCAAGATTTGACTAAGCTTGGTGTTGTACTTAGAAACAGTGAAGGCAAAGTCCTAGGAGCAGCAAAAAAAGTGTGCGAGTTTCAAGGTTCAGTCTTACAAGCTGAGATTATGGCCATTGATTTTTGCATTGCAA